TAAAGATTCATTTACACTGAAAATAGGAAAGTTAACAATACTTTCTCTTACTCACAACAATAGCACAAGTAGAAGATCGCCTGAGTTTCATGATGAAACTTACAATCGCTACTGAAACATATTTAACTGAATGAGGATCTAATCAATGGTGTAGTATTGTCTTCCTTTTGGCTTAAAGATTAGAGAAGCAAACCATTCGAAGCTCCTGCAAATGGTATGTCAAAATTTATTATTGCCTCATTTACAATCCAGAACAACACATGGTAGATATAAGCACAGATTCCTGGCCACATAGAAGCAATATATGAAGTTCGGGCTTTATTGCTATTTCAATTACAACACCAAAAAGGAAATTTAAGTACAGGATATATGGGATTTGTGTATACAAATATAGACATCAACTAATTAGATCAATTCAGCAAGTGACACCAAGAAAATGCAGTATCTATATAGATCGGCAAGAGCTATGTGTAATTGCATGTGTCCAAGAGTCAGACAGATTGCCTTTCAAGAAGTCATTCAACTTTGGCTTCTTATGCAAAAACTGGTTAGCTACTGAAGGAACAAAACCTAAAGACAAAGTATGCAACCTATGTTGAAATAATAAATAATAAATCAAGCAGAAACCATGAGAATATAACTTCAAAGTATCTGCACTCCTTTCTGGTTTTTAAATACAGTACATTGATGTAGCACTTTATTTAAAAAAAAAAACTTTGATGACATCAACAAAGTAACAAAGTTACTGAAAGTTTTAGTCCAAAGTGAAATGGCCAGCTAATATTCTATAATGTATTGCTTAAATATGCACATACAAATAAATATAAAAACTCTGTTTGCTAAACTGAGAAGACAGAATTCATTACAACTATGTATTTCCTGACTATTATAAATAGGAATGTAACCAAGTTGCTTTTTGGAGTATGCTTTACATTTCATCCTTCAAGTAAAAATGCCATGTAAAAACCAAAAGGAAATGAGGAGGTTTCATGACACCCAAGTCAAAGATGTAAATCCCCTCTTCACTACCTAAACAGCATATGATCACTTTAAAATACAGCATTCCAGAAACTTTTCTGGCTGCATTCCTAACAGCATGTTTGAAAACCTACAACTGTGAGCAGAGAAAACAAGTATCTAAAAGCCAGAGAATGAAGGAAGCCTCCTTCTCCCAATGTTTAGTTTTCCCAAGCAGAACTAAAAAGTTCTGCTCAATAAAAAGGGAAGATGCCAAAAATCTGTCTTATCTCTATTCATACCCAAAAGTTATTGTTCTCCTCTTTGCCCTTAATCCGCTGCTACAAAAATCCATAACTTTATTACCAGCTCTTCTCCGAAAACCAAAGCTATTCCTCATCCTTTCCTCATATATACGCATATATATGTGCATATAGGCAAGTACTGGATTAGTGTGTGATTGTGTGTATAGACATACATTATGCATGTACGTGTGCATTTAGACAAGTATTGGATTAGAGTTGAGTGTGGTTGTGCATACATAAAATAACGCATGTATGTATGCATGTATGCGTGTATATAAGCAAATACTGGATTACAGTTGAGTGTGGTTGTGTATATGCATACATATAATACATGTCTGTATGTATGCATGTTATGCTTAGGTATTGGATTAGTGCGTGTATTACACACCCAGACATACATATGCATGTGTATAGGTGAATACTGAATTGTGTGTATGGGCCTGTGTATATATGTACGTACCCACACACACAAAACACCTACCTCCCCCAACTCCAACCCAATCCTCCCCCTTACCTGGACTTTCAACTCAACGCAGCCCAACCAAGGAGAACGGGGCCTCCTTTTCCTCCCACTCCCCACTCAAGACAAAGGGCAGCCCACCCATTCCCCGGCGAGGGAAATCTCCCCCCCACCCACCTCGGGTGCCGCGTCCCGAAGCCTCAACCCGCGCCCAGTCCTGGAAGGAAGACGCCCCTGGCCCTGCCCCAAACGCCCCGGGCGAAAGAGATGGGAAGCGGTGGAGAGCCGAGCCAGGCCGCCCGGCTGGAGCCTTGCAGGGAAAGCCCCTCCACGAGGCCGGGCGGCTGAGCCTCCCGTGGGGCCTTCGCCCGCCGTCCCTCTCCTCCATTGACCGCCATGCGGCCAGCGGGCCCGCCTCGCCCTGGCCCTGCAGCCAACGGCCGCCCCACGGGAGGGCTCCGTGGGGGAAGGGGAGGCCCGCTTCTGACCGCTCCTCGGCCCAGCACCGCAGAGCCCATCAGCCCCGACCCTTTCCCCCGCCCAAGAGCGTCACCGGGCCTTTGAAAGGCTCCGCGAGGCTGCAGGCGCGAGTCAGGCCCGGCCCAGCAGCGTGTTCCCGCCCCGTCGGGAGGGCCTCTCGGCGGTTTTACCTGAGCGCCGTGGACCGCCATGGCGCCCCGGCCCCTCGCTGAGGGAGAAGGCGGCTGCGGCGGCGAGGCTCAGCCGTCTCCCTCAGCGCCTCACGCGGCGGGCGCCGCCGCCATCTTCTCGCTCGCTGCTGGCAAAGGCGCACGGCCGCCACCACACACGGCGGGCGGGCGGGCGGGCGGACGGGCGGGCAGGGGAGGGGCGGCCGCGGCGCCTGCGCACTAGCCGCCCGCGCGCTCTACGACACGCGCTTTGCGCTCAGACAGGCGGGCTCGCCGGCTCTGGGTGGGCCACTCCCCCCCTCCCCGCCGCCGCTCTGCGCATGAGCCTTCCAACAGATGAGGCCGGGAAGGGAGGCCAACGGCTGGCTGCGCAGGCGCGCGGTGAAGCGTCGGGGCGGTCCGATTTGAGGGAGGACGGAGAGTGAGGCGTCTTGCGCAAGCCTGGTTCGCCTCAGGAGGCGTTTCCTATAGCGTCAGTCATTGATCGGTGAGGGGCCCCGGTTTGGGCATCGTGGTGGGAGTTCTTATCTGACGATGCCCTGGCAGAGGGTTGACTTGATTCGTTACGGAAATGAACGTATGAATGAATGCGAAGGAAAGGATTGGCACGCGTCTCCTCAGAGTGGTGGGGAACGGGTGTCCCTATAACAAGAAAGGGGTGGGGGAAACGACGGAGACATTTGCGCACGCGCATTTCGGCCATCGCGAGGGAGGAGAGCCGTCTGCGCATGAACGCTTATTTGAATACATTTTTGTGCTTGCCCCGGAGTGGAGAGAGGTGTGGCTCCTTGCACATGCGCGACTGGGACATTGGCAGTGCGCAGGCGCCGGGCTTTACCCGGAGCACGTGTTGGCTGGAGCGATCTTCACCACCAGGGAAAGGGGTGTTGTCGGAATTGGCCACCTGAATGGAGAGGTTGGCTACTTTTTTTAAAAAAAAAAAACCAATTTTGTAGCTAAAGGTTAAAATGAGTGGTCGCTGGTGCCAAGTATGGTTGTTTTTCTGCAGACATTACCCAACTAGGTTACATCATCAGTGCAACTAAGGAGTGAGCTTTGCTTTGGAATTATTTAAATTATCATACAACATGGCATTACTTTCCTGCAATGTTTTATCTTTAGCCAGCTTTTCTCTCTATGGCAGGGAAAAATGATATTGCAATCCCATTTTGAACAGCTGAAGAAAACAGGTACACTGGATGTGATCCAGCTGGACACTTCATATGATGCCTGGACAATATTACTCACTTTTACAAAATTACACTTCACTCCCTTCTTTTCAGAACCCTGGTGATGGAAAGCAGCATCCCTGGCCAATTGAGGTGGAACAAAGCCAACTCTTCTTTGAAAATAGTTTGTTTGAAATTCAAATTCGGGATTAAACACACAAAAAGATCTGGAGGAAAGGAGATTAGATCATTCCAAGCTAATATTTATCGAGCAATTCTTGTAAAAATGATCAGCTCCGTTTACGGGAAAGAATAATACTTCTATACAAATGAGTTCTCAGAGGTTGTTGTTTCGCCAATGTTTTTACTTCTACAGACTACATTGACAAGTTCCTTCAGTTTTTTTAGGCAATATTTTCAAAAGTGGCCTTTATCTTCCTTCCGCTGAAAGAGAAGGACTGGCCAAAGTCACCCAACTGGCTTTGTGTCAAAGGCAAAACAGAGATTCACGTTTCTCTGTCCCTTCTTCAGCGCCTTCAAGTAAAACCACTTCCAAGTGCCCAGCTAAATATTAGCAAAACAGGGTCTTCTATTAATAAAAGCTTCCTCAAATTAACGAGAAATGCATTTTGCCTGGAACAGAGGGCTAATCTTACATCCAATCATTTAAACGACATCCAAGTGTTGATAGGATCTTCAGGCCAAAGCACAACATGCCTGTCATTACAGGTAGGGTAAATAAACCAGATGTTTTGGGGACCTCTTAACTGAAAGCAGGATATTTCAATGAAGTACTCCAGACCAGGAAGATTTAACCAAGAAATTAACAATACATAAAACAAAACCATTTTGAGTATGCAAATAAACCCGGTAGATGGTTAGTTTATAAGTTAAAGAAAACCAAAGAAGAACCATATACCAATTGAATGATAATGGAACAGTAGAGACGGATCTGGAAAAAAAGAAAATAATCGTAAGAAATTACTTTGAGAACTTATATAATCAAGACATAGTAGATTTAAACAAAGTAGAAGAATATCTGAAGGAAAGAATGTTACATCTGTTACTGGTAGATAAGAAGGAGATATTAAATAAGGAAATATCTCTTAAGTGAGTTGAAGGATGCCATTAAAAGACAAAAAAGCAACAAAACCCCAGGCCCAGATGGTCTCCCAAGTGAATTACATGAAGATATAGGAGAGCCATTAGAAAACTTGTTACTAGAGATTTGCAATGAAGTATTACTAGAGGCAAAAATCTCGGAATCATGGAAGGAGGCCTATATTATATTAATTCCTAAAGAGGGTGTAGATGCCAATCATAAAAAACTTTTTATAACAATATTAGAAACACTTGGATAGAATTAGACTGAATAAAGAAATTAAGGAACAAAGATTAAAAGAGAAGAATATAAATTACAAGCATTCGTGGATGATATGGTATTTATTATAGAAGATCCAATAAATTGCGGACCGATATTATTAAGGGAAATAGATAAATTCAGTAAATTAGTAGGGTTGAAAATTAACAAAGAAAAGACTATTTTGCAAACTTCACAGCCAGCTTCTGATAAAAGTCAATAGGGGAAGCTGGATTCGCTCAACCACCATGCAATTCACTTAACGACAGTGGTGTTTTGCTCAACCACCACGGAAAGAAAGGACATAAGATCAGGTGCAACTCCGCTTAAGAACCGCCTCGTTTAGCAATGGAAGTTCCAGTTCCGATTCTGGCTGTAAGTTTGAGGTCTGCCTGCATCGGGATAAGGATAGGCTTCAGTCCAAGAGCCATCACTCATCTTCCTTGATCCTCGTGGCATTGCGGTTCAGGCCTCAAGACACAGACGCAAGCCGAAACATAGGCGATGGCTTTGGGAAGGTTTCTAGCTTTCTGCCATTGCTTTGATGTTTTGTCGTAAACCTGGACGGCCTTGGAGAAGCTGTTGGTGTTTTTGCAACTGTAGCCGCCCAGGATGTAGATCTTGCTATCCCAGGTGGCCACAGCAGATTTGCTGTTGGCCTGGAGCAAAGGCACCACCCTATTCCACTGATCGCACTTGGGGCTGTAGGATTCCACTTCCAGGATGTCAAAGCGTGTCATATCCAGGTAGTTGTCGCTGCCCCAGATGACATAAGTGTCATTCTGTAAAGTAGACATGCTGTGAAAGCCCCGGGCCGTGATCATGGGCCTTCTCTCCTCCCAGGTATCCGTCCGATAATCATAGCACAGCAGGTTTTTGAGAAAGAGACCTGTCTGGTAATCATGGCCTCCCGAAATATAGACGAGTTCCTCGCGGATGGCGCCCGCGTGGCCATACATGAACCTGCGGCGGAAGGAAAAACAGGAGGAGACTTTTAAGTGGCCCTTCCTAGCAGGAGGGGAGAGGATGTTTTCAAAAACCCGTTTGAGATTTAATTATTTACTCTGGGGTGTTAACAGAGCACGCCTGGCTGCGTTGAGTTCCTCAGATCCATGACTGAAATCCAAAAGAGCGTAGAGATAACAAGCAGAGCTAAGAGTCGAAACTCACCCATGCAAATGGACAAGAATAAAGGTTGGCTGTCATTTAAAAACCGAGCATAGGGTTTATTTATTTTTGGGATGTTTTTGCTCTTTGTGCTAACCTGTGTTCATTTTGTATAATTTTAGAATTGTAAAGCACCCAGAGTCCCTTGTTAGAAATTCAATAAATAAACACAAAGAAGGACTCTAGTTCAGCTAAGAATCTGATTTTACTTAACATATTGCCAAGTGCAATGGTTTTCCTCTCTCACTGCAAGACTTATTTTTATTTCTTTATATCCCACCTTTAATATTTTTACAAATAACTCAAGGCCTTCAATATTTTCACAAATATTTTTACAAATAACTCAAAGCACCAAATATATCTAACACCCTTTTCCCTCCTATTTTCAACAACAACCCACCTGTGTGGTGGGTTGGGCTGAGAGAGAGAGAGAGAGAGGGTCCGCCGGCCAGCTCTTATGGCTATGATGGGACTTGGAATTTTTGAATTTTGCCTTACAATAGATCTCTGATCTGAAAACAAAGAAAGATCCTTCCCTTATTCAATGTGCAAATCCATGCAATCCGAATTATGTGACCCACATGGAATTATTTTGGACCCCTTGGGTGCAGACTTCGGTTGCCCAAGTGCCTTTGGTGATATATCGGTTGTGATATAAATTTAAGCAACTGGTAATCTTAAAAACTGAAGGCAACCTCTGGCCTAATTTCAAGACTGTTTTGCAAGAAAATACCTGTGGGTTGCTTCAGCTTAGTGCCTCAGGGAGAGAAGGGGGGGAGGGTTGAGATAGAGAATTAAAAACTTTAGAGCCGAAAGGGGGGGGGGGAGGAATGTGTGTGTAGTAGGAAACAGCTGAGGATTCTAATGCTACCACTTTCCCTGATCATCTCTCCAGAGCCCTTCTTAATCTGGTGCTTTTCAGATGAGTCACAACTATAATTGCCTGAATTAACAGAGTAACAGAGTTGGAAGGGACTTTGGAGGTCTTCTAGTCCAACTCCTTACTCAAGTAGAGGCACTATGCCATGCCGGATAAGTGGCTGGCTCTTTCCAGAAGGTCTACCACTTTTTTTATAATACGGTGACCAAAATTGGATGCCGTATTCTATCATCATTTTGCCCAGGTGCCCATTTCACCTGGGCAAGCTGGCAACATAGGACCAGGTGTTCTTCTCAGGGCTGTATGCCTCCACTGATGACAGTGTTCTGTTTTCATTCCTGCCACCCACAGCTACCAGCATGTCTCTGATGGCCCCGAGATAAAAGTCTGTGCGCTGCTGCCTCATCGAGGTGAGCTGAGAATGGGAGAGAAAAGCCAAAAAATGTGCCAAGGGTCATCCATCACAGAAACCAACCCTTAAAAATGGTTTTCTTGGCAAGATTTCTGCCTGGTATGCCATTGCCTTCTTCCTAGGGCCAAGAGAGAGTGACTGGCCCTAGATCACCCAGCAGGCTTATGTGCCAAAGGCAGAACTAGAACTCCCAAACTCCCACTTTCGAGCCCTGGTGTCTTTTATTCTAGCACTGCACAAAACAGACCTCTCTCGCCACAAACCATGGTTTGCGGCAAGCAAACCATCGTTTGGTCTGGGCGGGGCTTACGGGATCCAAGGCTGGAGGGGGGTCTGGACCTCAGCCTCTGCTTCCTGGGTGCTGACCCCTCCCTGGTAAAATCCCCCCTCTCCCCGAGCTGGGGCCAGCCAGGAGGAACCTGCAGCGAAGAAGAGCCGCCGGCAATGAGGACCGCGGGAGTTTCCCATCATGCCTCAGCGCCAGCATCCTTGGACTCCGCCCCCGGCTGGAGATGCTACTGTGGCTGCTGCTTTCCCCGCGGGCTAGCCTGGTTCCCCTTCCGCTCCTCCGGCAGCCAGGGCTCTCAACCAGGAACTGGAAGGCCGGAATGACCGACGAGAGCTAAAAAGGGGTCTGGCTGGCTAGCAAGAGGGTGGGTGGGACTTGCCCGGGCTCCGCTGCAGTGCAAAGGAAAAGCGAGGGCTTGGGGTTTTTTTTTTGCAAAGGTTTGAGTGGCAGGGGCTTCCCGTGCGCCCCCTCCTCGCTGCCAGCATTCCTCTCAGGCGGCTGGAAAGGGGAAGAAGTCCTGCTCCAAGGACCGCCTCTGCTTCTCCCTGACCAAGAGGAGGGCGGGGGGAAAATGGAGGGAAAACTCGCTTGTGGGGTCTCGAGAAGTTTCCCACGTTCCTCGGAGGTTGTGGACTACAAGAGCAGGTTGAAAAAGAAGGAGGGGGGGACGGACTCCTATTGGAAGTTGTGATTCACTCCTCTCCTAGGAGAAGAAAAGAAATTTTAAAATATTAAAGGGGCAGGAAAATTCTCCCCAAAGACAGGAGAAGTGGAAACCCAAGCAGGGATTCAGCACCCCCCCTTGTCAATAGGGCCATTAAAATAGCTGAAGCCAGCCTATTCTCCACAGCAAAGGAAGGATAAAAATTACACGCATGGGATACAGAGAAAAAGCCTACAAATTAGCTAAGATCCTTTCCCATAGAAATAAAAAAGATGGCAAACTATAGAACTTGTGAAAAACAGCAAAAGCAAACACCCAGAGGAAAAGAAATCAAGAACCTCAGACACGTGAGAAAAGGAGATACTCGCCAAAACCCAGTAATAAAAAGATTTAACCCATGATCGCAAACCGAAGGCATAACAGAAAGCTCGGGATATTGCAACAAAATGCAAACTGATTAATTATCTACAAAAGGCCAGGAAAAAAAACAGACTGGACTATAAAACAGTTACTTATTTGCCTTCTACCCAGATCCCAGGACAGAAAATCCCAATCTCAAAGAGGTAGGATTTAAATGCCATTTTAAAAAAAACCCATCACACACATACTAATCAAAAGACATTGAAGGATTCACATACGAATCAAAAAGGGACCTGAAGGGTATAAAAAGTAAGTCACCAAGAAGCAGTCTAGTCTCATGTGATCTCTTTTTACCTGCCTTCCTATTAATAAACTGATTCTGGCTTCCAATGAAGCCGGCCTCCAATCATTTTGCAGTAAATCTCCCAGCCGGGAAATTTGAATTCACAAAGGGAAAAAGCTGTATTTTCCTTAAAGGGAAAGGCTTCTGTTTTATTGCTGGGTGACTTCTATTTTCTTGCTGGAAAACTGTATTGTTGCATCAGTTGTTTTTAATTTTTACAAGATTTTCCTAGACTTTTTGGCCTACCACTTTCTGAATCCTCCAGCCCTAAAACTTGTGCAAAATTTAAAGACAGAAATACCGTACTTTCCAAATTCCAGACAGAGACAGGCTCTGTTTCCCGATCTTTGCTTACGAATAACCCAACTAATCAACCTTGATTCTTAGCCTCAGGTTGTTTGAGGGTTTCTGTCCTCCAGCCTCCATTTGCTTTTGTTACTTTTAACACACCCCAAAACATATTTTTTTCCAGGCCAGCAGAGGGAGATAACTGCACCTGAAATAGATCTGACAGAAATAAAATTCAGTTTCCACATTCAAAGAATAACTGCCCCACGGGGAGTATCTAATTCAAGCGGTAACTGAAGCCTGCCCTAGTTTTTAGATGGAAGTCTGCAAGGATGAGTGTCTGGGAAGAAGAAAAGAAA